AAAATGCAGGGGAAATAGAAAATATCAAAATGATCGTGTTTTGACCGCCAGGAAGTCATGTGTATTTTCACTAGATCACCTAGTGAACGATCGCCGAAAAGTTACTGAGATCGCGGAATGACTGGGCCACCTTCCAATCCTTGTCGAAGTAGTAAACCTAATTTCGCGAAAATGCGGATGGTTTTTTGAGTATATTTTTGCAGAGGAAATCAAGTAGATCATTTCTAGAAAAAACCCGAACTCAATATTCAAACTCTATCGAGAGGAAAAAAGCCGCGAAAAAATCCGCAATGATTATGCATCAACCTAATACAAATTAGGTTTTACTCGCCCTTCAGTGGCCGAATAAGGGTATAGCTCCACTTAAGCAAAAGAGAGCTGCTTTAAATGGGCTTCAGAGGCTTTACAGAGAAAAGTGCCAAATGCTTGATTAGATCAAAACGCTCTTCTATGTGCCATCAGCGGAATATTCTGGCCAAGGAGGGTGTCATCGTATTTTGTTGGAGGACTTCGTTCTTGCAGCTTAAATGAGCCACCTAGGAAAGGAAAGTATGTAATAAAGAGCTCTTCAACCATACCTTTCGATGATATGTGAACTTTGTGATCTTGCCTATAGCTTCAATTTTATGGCGCTAGTAGAAAAGTTCACACAGCCTTCTACAATAAGAGTGGCAAAAGAAGCCGCACTTCCTCGTGCATGAAAAACCCTTTCATCACGACCGAGTGCCATCTACGGATATCAAAGGTAAATGATAGAGAGACCGTGTGCTTTTGAATTGGCCTATTTTCGTCAAATTATGATTGTGTCTTATCTGGTTGTAACTATCGGGCGCAAAACAAGCGGACCGATCAGTCTCCCCAAGGAGATTAGCTTATAAGTTGGAAGGATAAGTTATCATAAAATTGATATAGGAATCTCACTGCTCGACAGTCACTTCCACTTATGATGCTTGGAATAACAATGAAACCTTCATAGAGGCCAACTTCAAACAATTTGTAGGTGGGTTTAGGGTTTCAAGTCTAGCCGTGGTATCGTGTCCCACTGCAGATGTTTACGACGAAAAAGGATCCTACTTATATAATGGGCTAAGTGTGTCTATAGGTAGGTAGGTAGGTGTGTGTGTATGTATGTATGTATGTATGTATGTATGTATGTATGTAAGTAAGTAAGTAAGTAAGTATGTATGTATGTATGTATGTGTGTGTGTGTGTGTGTGTTTGTCCGATCGGAAATTCATAACTCCGGTCCGGTTGTAGCTAAAGCTTTTAAATTTGAAAGAGAGATAGACGGCGGGATGGGAACACTGATGGTAGGTGACTGGAAGTGTCAACTATCGATAGGAACTGATAAGGAGCCTTAAAAGGCAAAAGCCTGAGTATCCGTAACTCCCTTCGTATAGCGGTGAAGCCTTGGCACTTTGGCAGGAGGTGTAACATATGAGGGGACCGTTAGTGATTGGTGACAGAGAATGATACCAAGTGATAGGGACTGATAAGAAGTCACAGAAGGCGAGGGCCTGTAGGTCTGTGACGCGCTTTCTGTTGATAGTGGAGTCTTGGTATTTCAGCAGGTGATGTAAGATGTGACATTATCGTAGGTACTCGGTGACGGGATCGAGTACGGTTGGTGCCAGGCCAGGAGCTGATAAAACTGATAAGGGCTAATGAAAATCGTCGAAAGCGTAGAGCCACTATAATAATAGCATTAATAGTGTATAATAATAGCATTAATAGTGGAGCTTTGACAGTTTGGCATGTGATGTGGAGTATGGCGGGATCGTAGGCGACCGATGATAGGCACTGATAACAGCTGACAGCGACTGATAAGAGCACTTACCAACTGAATTCAACTCCTGTGGTATCTATGATGTATTTATGATTACGACTATGATATAGATTACGACGCTACCCAGCAAGGTTTGTAACTCGGTGGAAGCTCAAGTTCACTTTATGTTTTGATATCATTTACGACGAAGCTCATCCGACAGCCAATAATTTGGGATTCTCAACTAATGATGTACCCGTAAAGGAAGGAAGGTCCAGTGATAACGAGATCTTATAATGGTGTTATTATCACTTGAGAACATTTGTGAGTACTACTTAATTCTTTGGTTGCCTATCAGTTAAACTTTTAATGGTTCATAATTTTCAAGATGAAGAGCAATCGATTGACACCTTTAATCGTAGGCGCAAGCATCGGCTCACCCTGAATACCCCGACGCTGCCCTGCTTATGCCAGCTTCCTTCTTTTTGGGTCCTCTGTCAAAGTTATGTGGAGTGTGTCAGAAAAGCATAATTCGTTCCAAAAATTGGAGGGGGGGGGGGCTGCTGATTACTGGGACTTAAAGAAAGAGGAAAGCCCGGCGTTAACCAGGCGTTCGGCTGTCTCTTCATATAAAGTAGTAACTTTGTGCGTCTGCTTGTAGGCCCGTTTTTGCGTTCTTCCGAAAGTCTCGCAGGTACAATGAAGTTATGAAATGGAAAGTCAGGCGGTATTGTTCATATTGGTCCTCTAACATACCGTAGGTAAGCGGGAGTGGGCATGCGGTGCACGCATTAGCGTGCGTAGCCCAACTGGTTTCTTGATAACTAGTTTATTAGCATATGCGCACGTAAATCGACTAACCAGTGTTCCATAGTATTTTTTTCAAAAACGTAGTTATCTTGTACCAGCGTTTCGGAATTGCGGTCAGTATTCCTCGAATCTGAGGACCGTAACCCTTTCAAAGAGGGTTCTAGTCGGATGAGCCATTCTACCGCCCTCTGCCGTAAGGACAGGGATTGAAAACACTCTTTCGAGTGTTAGAGGTAGAGGGGCGGACTATTTGGTCAGTGATGGTAATTTTTTGCATGAATTACTAGTTCTCGGAAACCTAAAATGTGAGGAAGCTCCATATATTCTCAAGAATGAGCCGAAAACGTTTTGCAAGCGTTTAGGACGCATTTCGTAGAAGAGCCTCACGAGCGCATGCATCAAAGAATTGAAACTTGACGTCGTGCCTACCCATCCACCATATAAAAGGTGCGCCACCGCTGTACAGCCAAGGCTTTGCTCGGTTCGATAACCTATTCGGTCCAGTGGTATGACATAGAGCTTCCGTAGCTTTATTCCAAAAATCGTTGAGCAGATTAGGACAATAGTTTTGAAAGCGGAATCGAAACCACCTACGGCGGTACACATCTCATCTTGAAAGACAACTGCGACCAAGTATCCTTTCCGAAAGATCAAAAGTTCACAATTCTGTACGAAGAAGTTCGACTGAGATGGGTGGAGCGTTCACAACTTTTTTGCAGAAACTCACATCCCATCAGTCTACAGCCATTTTCTCAACGGGTGCAGCTCATCAAAAAATCCACCTCTTATTGTATGTTCTTTGTGTGACGCACACATTAGTGTGTAGCTGGTATATAAATGAGATGCTCAAGCATGCTTCTAAAAGATCTGCCATCGGCTCAAATAAAAACATGGAGAAAAACTTTTGAAAAGATTCCAACCATACCCAAGTTCTAGATCTTGGAGTTGCCCTTCTCCGTAAATCACAATCACACAGATTATCATCGAAGGATGTCGCAATGGTATTCCCGGTCCGTCAAACGGTAATAGAAAAGCTGATATGGATAGAATTAGAGCTAAATAGAGAAAAACATGGGAAAACTGTTAATTCTGAGATACCTGGCGGTTCTTCTCCAGCTGCTAACGGTAAAAGGTAAATGTCCTTAAAACAGGAGTCTGGAGGTACGTCGACAGCAAAATACCGCCCTTTCCGCACCATATCTTCATAAATTGAGATATATCGCTGTTCACCCTCCAAATCGGCTGCAACAGAAGAAAAAAAATTGAAGCACATGCCTTTCCTTTTATCGTTTGAAATTAAAATAAAGGCTCGGTTCTCGGTTTTATCTGAATGAAGTTAGGGTCATGATGATATAAGAGAAGGCTTTAACAAGGTACGTTTCTCTGCACTTCGGACTACCTACCTGGCCTAGTCAATCGCAAGACCGTCACATGATGAATACCATTTTTTACAGTTTCATGGACGTAATCAAAAACGATGACAGGTACGATCCGTCCCTATAAAGTAGAGCACTGTTTTTTGTAAAATACTGATGAAAGAGCACTACCAGGGATGAAAACTGAAAGAAGTTATACAACACGAGAAAGATGGGACAGAAATGGCTTACTCTGATGCGAAGCAGAGGGGGGAGCCTTGAAGCCACTCTGTAGGCTATGGGATTCGAAATCAAGCAAAACGAAGTGGTCATCACTGCGTTGTTCATACATATTTGTCCATTCCACACGCTAGTAGAGCTGAAAGACTTAAATTCAATCAAAGAGAACAACGGCAACCAAAACCAATAATTGAAAAAAGGAGAGGGAACACTCAGGTCGTACATTGGGCATATAATAAGTTTATGGAATTTTCATAAAATCGAAACCACTTAAAAGAATCAGTGTTGTTGTCGTTCACAGCGAAAAGCGATGATGAGAGGCCTCCAAGGTGAACTATGGGGAATGTGATCCTGATAAAGGCCAGTTTTTGTAAGGAAAAAAAAAACAAAACGTGAAAATATTTAAAAGTATGTAAAAATGGGTATTTAAAGCGGGTAGAATTGTCTAAGGTAAACATTAGTAAGAAAGAGAATTGAGCACGGCTTCCTACCTAGCCCATGCCGACTCCCGCGAGAAGTTTCGCCAGCTCGTTGGATCATGCCTAAACGAATGCCTTTGAGAAGAAATGACTTTGGTTTATCGAAGCCTTCAATAAAAAATTTACAATAACAACAGCACGTGAGGGTCACTTTCATTCTGCCTTTTTTGTGGCGCGCCACGACAAAATGCTAGCCACAACAGAAAAGTGAACAAAATTTCAAGGCCACATAAGAGTGGATCCAACACTTAAAAACCTGCTCCACAACTAAGTTGTGCTGAAAACGTCAATAAATTGTTGCCACCTACTTCACATCGAGTACATCGGATGTATCTTGAAAAATTGGTGAATCTTCAATGGCACCACCACCATAGGAACCAGTGTATTCTTCATCAGATGCACACGCTGCACCTGTACTTTCCGGGCTAAGTATCCGTTTGGCCTGAATGAATATTTAGAAAAAAGTACATTAACTTGCTTGGAGAATGACGGTTAGAAATTGATTTGTGAAGGACTGACACGGATTGTTATAATCGTAAAAAGAAAGTAAACCAGCATGATGACGTTTACTTTAGATTTTTATTTATTGTGCACGATATCATTGAGCGACATTTGCCCAACAGAAAACGAGTCCTTCCCTGAGAAAGATACCCTCAACATGAAGGAATCTATTCGAATACAAAGGAATACTGGAATATATTTGACAATCCATTACATCTTAGAAGTTCAGGAAAGCAAACGATGATTTCGCATATCGCTTCAGGCGCTACCTGAAGGAGGGAAAACTTGCCAGTTGTCGAAATATGTAAAGTTTCTTTTTCTATATCAGCAAGGTTGGGTGTAGAACAAGTTGTGCTTCAGGTCCCATGATCCACTGGGTAATGTTCTGACTGCGGCATCGGATATGGCCAATGCTCTGACAAATTATTTCGCAAGAGTTTTCATTTCTTCCGAAGATACAGGTAGTAGTCTTCCGGCACTAGGTGTACAAGCACCTACGCCACGTAAAGTTTACCTCATCATTGCCGTCTTGTGGAATGCCTCTATCCAACTTTATATAATTCGCTAAGTGTGTCTGTTGGTGTGTCAGAGTGTGTGAGCCGGTATGTGTTCGATCGGAAATTCATAACTCCTGTTCCCTTGGACCTATAGCGCTGAAATTTGGTAGGAGTACAGGAGGCAAGATGGGAACACTTAAGGTAGGCAGCAGCACTAGACTCGGCCTACAGTGAGTGGAGTTTGCGAAGAGTAAATGTTTGGGCGGAAATTTGTAACTTCTGTTTCCGTGAAACCAATGAGTTCAAATTTTGTAGGTTTTAATAGGTGATGTAAGATATGACGGGATCGTAGGTGTCGGTGACAGGAACCGATAAAGTCGATCTGAGAAGATAAGGAGTCGAGACAGCAAGAGCCACCTACTCTCTCTCTCCAGACAGATCTAAAGGAGCTAAGGGATTACGTGTCAGACATACAGACAGAACTACAGACCGAACGGCAGACAGATTGACAGATAGACAGAACGACAGACGAAGCGCTTTATAGTAAGTAGGATTTTCGCAGAGAATATCGCAGACCCTGCCTGCCACATCTTCAACATATGGTTACCCTCTGGAGAGATTCCTTTGTACTGGAAGAAGTCGGTTGTCGCCGCGATACCTAAGAAACCCAACGCTTGGTCCCGCAAGAATTCAGACCGATTAGTATAACTCCTACACCATGTAAAGTAACGTAGAAATCTCAAAGGCAAAATTCTTAGAGTGGTTTCAGGAAATTTTCCTGATTCATTGTAATCAATTTGGCTCTGCTAAAAAGCGGCCACATGCCTGGAAACTCCTAGAATGTGCTCATAACTGGGCTGAAGCCCTCAGTTGCTCAAAAAAGAGCTACCGTTGCTACTTTGATCCGAGCGAAGCTTTCAACCCAGCTTGCCAGCTCAACCCAGCTTATCAAAAACTGAAATGTATAGACATAGGGGCGTCCTTCTTGATTGGCTGAAAACATATCTTCGAAATCGAGTCCTTCTGATCAATTACAAAGAACCGTTTCTCATAGATCACTGCGACTCCGGGGTTTCATTATTTACGTGATGGATCTCCCTGTGTCTCAAAGCCGAATCAAAATGTCAATATTTACACCATCGCAGATGATGTGAGCGTTCACTGTGGTAGTCGATGGTAGTCTTCCTGAAGCTGGTCGTTTGCTGAGCAGTGTAGTTAATCGCATGGCATAGTGGACGAACAGACGGGGTCTCAGACTGAGTGTTGACTAGACTTGTGTGCTTTCTTTGGGTGAACGATCGTCTGAGCTTTCACTCGATGTCTGCCAACATCTTCTGCTCTAACTTAGTGTCGGGATCTGAGCGTAATCGTTCCTAAATCACTCAGCTAGGAAGTGCATATCGATGAGATAGTGTCCAGAGGTCTTTATCGCCTCTATGTTTTGTATAGAATCGCCCAGCTAATCTTATCAAGCTATACAAGGCATACAGTGCGTATAAGATCACCCTCAAATTCGGTGTTTACAGGATAAGCAGCCAAGCAGACAAGTTTTAAGCACTACTGTCAGATTCACCACCTTGAATAACCCCCACGCACGGACATTTTTGAATCAACTTCTACTATAACATTTTTATAATTTTTTGGTTTGTGCATCGTTTCATAAGTATAAGAACACTTCAGGAACTTGAAAAAAATTATCATTAGTAACGACAGAAAACATTTAGCAGTCGATGGGTCTTCCTTGTTCTAGCCCAAGACCTCGCCGGAGTTTCATTCCAAGATTCAGGTGTTGCCTGCTTCTTCTCTTCTATCGTCTGGAACTGACCGTTGTTCGCATAAATCTTCTTTATAATGATGCCCCGCAGATTCTCCATCGGGTTCAGATCGGGGCTGCAAGCTCGCCATGTCAGAGCTTTGAAATTTTGGAAAAGCAAGCAGCCTTCCGTGGAATGACTAACGTGGATCGCAGCACTGTCCTCTTACAAAACGTAGTTAGATCCACTTCGCCGGCTCAGAAATGACACCAGTTTCCATTGTAAGACTTCCTGAAAATCCTTGAGTCCATTTTGGAGATCATGAGAGCATGATCCATCCCGACATCTCTGCAGAAGGCAGCCCGACCCACTTAAAATGAACCGCTCTTTTCGTAAGTCGTGCCGGTAGTAGTTATAACCATCGGGGCCTTCCAAACTAACTTTCTTTTCATCGGAAAATACGACCTGAAAGAGGATATTGGACTGTATGGCTAATCGGTAATACAGGCTGGCTTTCGTCCAATCTCATCCCAAATTCAACTTCGCAAATTCAAACCGTGCCTTCCTGTGGTGGTCGATAAGCTTCTTAGCCCTCTTCATTGCTGCCTTGACAATGCTGATGCTCTTTTTCACGGCTCTTCATCCAGTGGTTTTAGACAACGAGAGACCAAACTCTGATCGAACTCTGTTCAACGACAAGGTTCTGACCGAATTATTGAACGGAGCTAAGAGATCTCACAATTTTCCTCCCATCTGCCCTCATACTGAACACTCTATCACGAAAATTTCGATATTGTGCTTCTGTCCCAAAGGAAGATGATCTAATCGAGGCAAAGTGCATATGGCTTTCAAACATATTTGCGACAAATTCTCTTCTATGCAGATTCCTCCAAGTGCAAATACTGCTGCGCTAGATTTCGAAGCCTTCGTCTGGGGTGATCCTATACTTGAACAATATTCTTGAAAAACGGGAAAAAATCGAGAATATTTGTGTGTAAATGTTGATCTGAAAGTTGAGCGAACCAAAGCAGGTACATGGGGGTTTTTGAAGGTGAATCCAATGGTGGTGCCAGGAAGATACGTGCTTGGGTGCTCGTCCTGTAAGTAAAAAAATTCGAGGGTGATCTTATACTCATGAAACGCATGTATGTTCTCCCAATGCTTGAGTATTGTAGCCAGGTCTGGAGTCCTAGTGTGAGAAACATCATCACTGAGGTTGAGAAGGTTCAAATGACCTTCACCAGACTCTTGTTCTACCGCGTCTTTCCTGACTCAGGTACCCGAGCTCTCGATCAACTTACAATATCCGATTGAAGGAACTTTGCATGGAAAGCCTTCTATATAGACGGAAGTTCTCTGACATGGTAAAAGCATTCAAAATCTTCAAGGCTGAGGCCTCCTTGCTTCCTCACAATTTTGAGTTTTTCAAACCATTGTCCACAAGAAGGCGTCGTTATAACACCAGTACTTGCAGAGTTAGTTACCGTCTCCGCTTGCAGAATAGCGCTGACAAAAACTCTTTCTTCTAGGCCCTGAAACTTCTAGAGAAAGCAAAGACATCCATCTTTAAGAAAGCTTCATTCAAAAGAGACTTTATGCTGTGATTGGCATACGGGATTTTTAGTTCTGTATTGACTGTAGTGCTGCCGTGTTCACTCCTTACTGGTAAGCCTGACTTTTCTATTGTGTTTATTCGATTTGCCTTCAATGTGAAGAAAACTTGTGCCTGCGCCTATCAACATCAGCTTTTTTAACAGTGTTTCAGACACTTTTTCTGGGACAAGCAAAAAAAAACACAATAAAAAAGGATTTGACTGCCATCTCTCTCATTCCTGGTATCACCCACGTGTCTTGGCGTTTGCTCATGTTTTACATGGCAGGTGAGGATTAACAAGTGCGTGCTTTTTACAAGTACGTATTTGAGTCTGGTTCTTACGCTCGAAATTCATATCAAGATCGAAAAGCCAACAACATGGACCTGTCTCGAGACAGCTTCAGCCAATAGCTTTGTCCAGACTGACCCCTCCTCGGTCGTCTCCAGCTGCAGACGCTTGAGTTCAACGGGGGTACACATACCTGGATGTACATATATCCCCACTTGACAACCACTAATGCATTGTATATGCGCCACTTGCCCAATAGGGGTCATGCGGCCACTATCAATATTCTTCCTGCCACAGCTTCGTACCGGTGAGGGCTTTCCATGAGTTCTCTTTCTGAAGCCTTCTATTTCTCTGTTCCTTCTTAGTCCTGTGCAGTCATCGTGCGATGGTAATCTATATGTGTTGCTGCTTTATGCTTGAGCCCTCTTTCCTTGCCTTTATGCTTTTGTACTTTGTTAGCCCTAGCCGTTTCCCCTGCAGATCTTTTTTTCACTTAGTTTACGCACACGATTTTTCGGGTTTGCCTAATCATTTTTCTCTTTGTACAACTCGAAACCTCGTTTTCTTGCTTTCATTTCTATCGAGTGCACCTTGCGTGCAAATAAAATCAATAAATCAATAAGTGACCGTAAAGCGTCGGAATGACAATACTAACAAGTACCTCTTCATATGCTGGCTTCTTTATTGCTACTCTATAATCGGAATCAAGAAGCGTAAGCGGTTCATGTCTTGTGAATGCAAGGCACTTTTCCACAGGAAGCATCTGAACGAGAATAAAGAAGTTACATGAAAGAAAACCTCATTGCTGCACATAAAAAATCAGTGGTTTGCTTTGGCAGTGAACTTACCTCTCTAAACCTCTTCTCTTCCAATCGCTGTCTCTCTTTCTCCTCTCGCTCCTTACGTTCTAGTTCAGCCTGTGACTTTTGCTTCGCCAAACAGATGCTGCAGTTGACGTCATAAAAATGGCTCAAATGTTGTTCTGTTGTGTCTTTTGCGCCATCACCGAGTAACGAATCCAACGTCGACACACTCGCCGAAGCAGACTTAATCGCTTCCTTTTAAAAATACATCGGATACGGTTTAAATAAAACAGTCCTGAATAGAAACGATGCTCACAGCAGTCTTTGGCTGCTCAGATTTCCGCGACGGACGTTTTACTGATTTGACATCTGCTTTCTTCGATGATTTGGTGGCAGTCATACTTTTTCTAGACGCACTGCGGGTTTCAATGTTCGTCTCAGAAGCAGGAGCAGTAGAACCAGCAGCGCTCTCGTCGTTTTTCTTCGAGTTTTCGGTTGGATCCTCCGATTCACCTGATTTTACAGCATCAGCTTTCGACTCAGATGTTGAAGGCTGATCAGCATCATCGTTTTCTATTTCCTTTGCGTCTTCGCCACCCACGTCTGAACAATGAAAAACGTTCGAAGTTCACTAACTGTCTTCGCTAGAATATCGCCAACGGTGTTAAAGTCGAGGAGAGTAGATTATTAAAGGATAATGGAAAAGATGGAAAATAACTAATCTTGACAACGTCGGAACATTTTTTCGAGGTATCCCAATCATGCAAAAAGGTGATTACACTAGAAGTACTGTAGCTCCTTGGGAAATAGCTTCTTTTCAATCGTGAAAATTCAGCCGATATAGAACCATACAGGATTTGAACAAAACGCTCACGAACAACTTTTGGTAGAAATCAAACAAACCATCAAGCGGAGTTGAATATTCCGGTTTCCGCATGTCTACACCCTCCAACGTGACCAGCTTTTGTACAGAGATATTTCCCGTTAGAACTCGGTAGTAAAAGCTCTGAATAAAAAAGTTTTCATAAAAAGAGTCACATTGTTCCAAACATCAAAAAAGAGAAAACCACGAACAAAAACTTCGAATGTGGCTTACCTTATTACGGCAGTCTGCCACATTGTCTATGAAAGTCTTCGTCCAAGTTTTGTAACGGGGTGAATTCAGGTTAGATTGGCAAGACTTGAACAGAGCAGCTTCAACATTCTCCGCTACGTCTTTGCACAGCTTGATTGCGGATTTCACTTTATCAATTTTAGCCCTAAACTTGAAAATTTGGAAATACAAAGTGCAAATGGAAAAAATATGGGTGGTAAAAATCAAAGCGGACAGAAAAAGAAACAAACTTAATGCCAACATTGGAAAATAGTGCTTATAAACAACTGACCTTTTCATTAGTGCGTCGGAAAACGCTCTTTTCACATTGAAACGAATCCGATCAGAATCTTTAGATAAAACTTTAGGCGTTTTTTTCACATCAGCGTTTTGCTCTGAAACCGATTACTTTCTTTGAGAATCAAGATAACTTTACCCTTTGAGAACAATATTTTATAGCGAAGATGACAAAAACAAACGAATGCGGATCGTACCATTCTTCGTGAGCTTTTTCTTTGCCACAGGTAACACTGGCTCGTATTCGGGATACTTGAAAATGAACTCTGCTAGGTTAATTAAGGTTGGTCCAGTTGTTAGCAGCTGACCATCTCCACGTAGCAATGTTAACGCCCCATAGCCCTCTGGTAGGACCTAAAAAGCAAATTGGAACAGAAACCCCTAGAATTTAGTTGTTGTATTGAGTAATATTATAGAATCTATAGGTTGCATTCATGATACTGACACCGACGACGGTGTCCGCCGCCAATCAAATTCCGTCGGTCGATGACTCATGTCGGGTTTAACAATGTATTGAACATTCGCATTGCTTCGCTCTTTTTTCTTTTATTGAACGACCAGTCGGGCCACCCAGCTAACGCCGGGCTCTCCCCCCCCCCCCCCCTTTATGGTAGGATTGTAATAATCGACAAATCGACCCCTCCCCATTTGGAACAACTGCTGTTTTCCAGAACATGAAATTCGACAGAGGACTAATAGGGTAAGCAAGAATTATTCAAATGAGGCCGTGCTTATTCCTATGATTAGCAGTCACATTCTGTTCTGTTCGTCATAAAAATAATAATGATGAATGAAGGTTCAACTGGTAGGAAACAAAATCCTAAATGGTACTAACAAATGTCCTCGAGTCATACCACTACCTCGCGCCAGACCACAAATGTCTTCATCAATAAAGATTTCTTTCTACGGATATAGCATTAAATGGAATCCAAGATTATGAGCGGTCGGATAAGTTTTGCCAAGAATGATATGGAGGCGAAGGGGAACAGTCGTAAATAACAAAGGCGGTGGATTTGAGGTGAGTGGATCTTGCTTTCTAAGTCCTCTTCCATCGTCAGTGTTTTCATCCTGCCTCCTCTACCTCTATGGGAACCCCACCCCTGAGGCGGAGCCTGGTCCAGCCACCCACTATAATGTTCCCACCATGCCGACTGTACTCCTACCAAATTCGAACGCTCTAGGTCCAGGGGACACAGGAGTCATGATTTTCTGCGCCGCCCCCTGCGGAGGTGGAGTCGGTCCTTCCACTCACCATAAGTGTTCCCTTCCTGTTTCCTGTAATCCTAGCAAATTAGAACTTTCTAGGTCAACGGAACAGGTGTTACGAATTTCTGCTTGAACCTCGCTCACTGTGAGTCTGGTTTTGTTACCCACCATGAGTGTTCTCATCCCGCCGCCTGTACTCCTACCACGTTTGAACGCTTTAGGTCCACGGGGACAGGAGTTATGAATTTTCGGTCGAACACACACACATACACATACACATATACACATACACATATTAGCGTGTTATATATAGTAGGATTACAGTTCCTAGACTGATTGTTACAGTTTGATGACTTGCTCACGACTTCGCTTCTCATGGAATGGATACTCTTTTTCTTTCTTCTTTAATTTTGAATACTGATAATTTTCAATTTCATCATGATCATCCATGCATGATATTGTAATCAAAATGCACCCCTTTGAGCGCGTTTTTCCTCCACTCTTAAGCTTAAAAGAGCGCATAGGGCAGCATGATTGATCGACCTGCAGGGCGTCGATCAGATAACGCCGACATCAGCAGAGGTACTAAAAATGCCACTTAAGATTTCCCGCAACCATCAAATTTATCAAAATGCGCTCGCAACAGGGACGAAAGGAGACGTTTCGGGCGAACGCTCTAGCAAATCCATCATCATCAGAAGGACACGCGACACAGGAGATTTTGGTCGCCATGCGATGCAGAATAATTTGGAAACCACGCGGTGAATTGGGACGCCATTGCAAATAAAACGTTGTTTTGTACCTTAAAGGCACGGTCCACGACGAAAATGATTACTGAGTTCTTCCCTTAGAAATACTCAATGGCCCAATGGGTGGTATTATAGAAAGGTCCCTCTCGCCCCCGAAATCTCGACGGTCACGGCATAGTGGGAGCCCTGTTGTTGACTTGAGTCGCCTTCACGCCCCTTGATCGATGCCACGTTAACGAGTGTCGAGGCGGAACAGATTGCAATTATTCGTTCTAGGACCTACACCCAATCAGCTGATCGCCGAGTGGCCGCATTCATACTAGGTGCAGTGTAAGGCAGTTGAGTGCCGTGTACTGCACTCGACTGCCGTATACGGCACTCGACTGCAGTGTACGGCAGTCTCGGTGCCGTGTACTGCACTCGACTGCCGTATACGGCAGTCGA